TATATATATATAAAATACAGAGACATAAATGAACTTAAATTAACATTGTAGAACTTTCTTTTCGATCCTTATTTTCTTCAAACGTTGCATGAACTATGAGGGTAATTAGGGTAGTTAGGGTACTTAGGGTATTTAGGGTAATTAGGGTAATTAGTGTAATTAGTGTAATTAGGGTAACAGGGTAATTGGGGTAATTAGGGTAATTAGGGTGATTAGGGTGATTAGGGTGATTAGGGTAGTTAGGGTAATTAGGGTAATTAGGGTAATCAGGGTAATCAGGGTAATTAGGGTAATTAAGGTTTAGGGGCTAAGTAAGCTTATAAAACCAGGTAGAGTTCGAGCTATCCTACTTCTGGCCTCACTTATCGCCACCCATGAACCGTCAAGAAAGGGTCCCGGTAGCGTTTGGGGCGCTTTCAAAGTTTCGGGTTCAACAAGCTTCGGCTCTCACTTCAGGGCCGTTTGCGCATCTTTTTGGAGTTTGGGGGGAGGGGGTTTAGGGTTTAGGGTGTAGGGTTTAGGAACCCTAAACCCTAAGCCCCAAGCCCCTCTGTGACACCTTCCTTCTAAGAGCTGTCTCGAGGAATCACCGGGCCAGCATGCAGGGACCCCGGGAGAGTCCACGTCATACCCCGCACCCTCAAAAACCCCTGCATCCCACATTGGGGGTTTCCACAATTGCGGTAGGGTTTAGGGTTTTAGGGTTTAGGGTTTTGGGTTTTAGGGTTTAGGGTTTAGGGTGTAGGAGATGCTCAATATCCTTTAACCCAGCGGTAGCACAGCACAAGCCCCAGAATCCAGAACCTTTGGGGCGAAGGCGCTGGCTTACTTGGAGGTTCATGGTACTTATGAACCAGTTTTTACCGTCTTATAACTGTACTTAACTTATAACCATATACAATTATAATTGGTTAATAGGTACCATGAACCTCCAAGTAAGGTTGAGGAGTACTCGCATAGGCCGGCCCATGGAGAACATTCCCAGCTTGCGGTTTTCGTTGGCTCCGCGGTTTTAGGGGTTCGGGTTCAGGGCAATGTGCACTGCAGTGCCCCCGCTCAGGCAAAGGGCTGTTGGGTTCTACCTTACTACCTTCCTATGCTGGTATCTGGTTATCTTGTTCGACTGTTTTTTTTTTTTTTTGTGTTTTTTATAGGGCTATCGTACTATAGTACTGCGTGGCTACATTGCTACACTGCTGTACTACTAAATTCCCAAACCCTAAACCCTAAACCCTAAACCCTAAACCCTAAGCGCGCCTTCACTTCAAAGCAACCCCCCAAGCCTTGTTGAGGCGGGACTCGGCCGAGGAGAGGCTTGAGCCATGATCTTAGCATGATGCCACTTTTGGAAGCGGCTTGGGGTTTAGGGTTTAGGGTTTAGGGTTTAGGGTTTAGGGTTTAGGGTTTAGGGTTTAGGGTTTAGGGTTTAGGGTTTAGTGTTTAGGGTTTAGGGTTTAGGGTTGAGGGTTTAGGGTTTAGGGTTTAGGCAGGCAGTGGCTAGGAGTCCTGCTGCAAAAAAGGGCTTAGGGTTTCGGTCAAAAGGGTTTAGGGTTTAGAGCCGCCAGCAGACTTGAAATAGTAAGAGAGGCGCTGAAGAACAGTTGGGTCTCTTGAGTGCCTGGGCCTTGGCTTTCCAGGTTTCAGGGCTTACCGGTGCAAACCTCAGGGGTGTTGGGATGCTGGGGACAAGCCATCCCCGGAATCTCTGAACATCGCCACGGTACCCGAAACCCTGCCTCCTAAACCCTGAACCCTAAACCCGACTGTAGTGGAAAGGGCCCCGTACTCCGCGGTTGATGCGCGGTGCATACGGTTACTCCTTATAATCCCAAAAGGTTAACCTTTAGTTCCCCTAGGTACTGGACAACTAAGTATTGGTTCTGGGTTGAGGCCAACGTGTCTTGTCTGCCTCTAGTGTCGGACATCTGGAGGTTTGCGTGCGCACTCGTTGTGAGAGTCGAAACCGGGTTTAGGGTTAAGGGTTTAGGGTTTAGGGTTTGGGGAACCCTGAACGCTAAACCCAACTGTGACCCTGAAGTCTGAGGCCTTTCTTGGAGGAGGCTTTGCGCTTCCTACGCGAGGCACACGGCTTGGATTTGGGTTTAGGGTTTAGCGTTTAGGGTCTAGGGTCTAGGGTTTTGGGTTTTGGGTTTTGCACTTCCGACCTCTTGAGCGCCGGATCGAGAAACCGACCCGAAAACCGAAAAGTCCTGGACTTTCGACCTCCAAGCCTTTTACATTCACGAGTTGGGATGTTCCCCCTTAGACCTTAGACTAACAGTCCTTAAGAGGGATTGTTGTACTACAATACGGATTCCAAGTCCAACGGTGGTGGATAAGCACAGAAGTTTGTAACAAGAAACACAAAAGCACGACGGGCCCCATGGCGGATGGAGACGTCGCTGCCAAACCCCATTTCATGATTATCTCCAGCATGAAGTTTGCCGAGGATATTGTTGCCAAGAGAGGGGTCTTGGAAACCTTGGGATACGCTGTCAGCGTTCCCAATGACACCGACCTCATGCTCTCCACCCCGACGCTTCTTACTTCGCCTTCAGTTGAACTTTATAAACTTTCAGGGCTTCCGTATTTAGTAGGAATATTAAAGTCTAACCTTGTTTAGTAGGAATATTAAAGTTTAACCTTTTTTTGCCCTTGGCCATTGGAGAAGTCAGGCTCTGTGACGATTTAGAAGCCGACTTGCAGCATTGCAAGGAGCAAGATGAGCTGAGGAGAGGCTTCGACTTAGTGGCAGCCGCGGACGCGGTCTTGGTGTTGAATCACCCCAAGAATGGGGTGGAAGGCTACATCGGCACCTCGGTGCTGATGGAGCTGGCCATCTCCCACTACCTGAGGAAGCACATCTTCTTGCTGTTTCTAGGTCATGGTTGGGTAACCTTTTGCATTTTTAAGGGTACTTAAACCCAATAAGGAACAACAATTTAAATTTTTAATGTTATCCCAATAACGAGCTAGGTTTCCAACGCCAAGCTTCCATGAGCATCGCTGGGCCCATGAGGTGGCCATGATGAGCACTTGCTGTCTCCACGGTGACGCGACGCGCCTGCCCGTAGGCTTGGCGGCGATGAAGAGCGGCGGTCAGTTTGAGTGCTCATTTGAGGGCACCGAGGCAAGATTTCGGGAGCTTCTGCATTGGTCTTGGCAGGTTATCGGCCACAAAGCCTGCAAGAGCCAGGCCATGGAGGATGTCAGCAAAGAGGAATCCACTGTGGACACGCCTAATCGTGAGCGAGATCGGTCCAGAATTTTGGCCAAGGGTTTTGTGGAGTTTCCTTCTGAAACCAAGGTGAAAACCAAATGCAAGGCTACAGGTGTGCAAGTGGCCAATGGCTATGTGCGGCTTCTCTTTGGAGACCATGGCCCCTACTTGGAGTTGCTACACGAACATGTTTGCTGGGAGGCATTCGTGCACCACAAACTGAAAGGTCCTCTCAGACATTACCATGAACACCTTACCCGCGACCGCGGCATTCAGATCTATGAACAGTTCCGCTCTGTGCATGACGAGCCACATCCACCACCAGGCGAATGGGCATGCGACAACAATCGCCCAGAAGGCTACGCAGACTATCGCCCCGGCAGGATATACATGCCTGCAGATCTCGTGGAGCCATGTTAGCAAGTAGCAAGGCTTCTGCGACGATTGGAGACTTTATGTATAGCCAACGACTACATTTGTGAAAAGAGACGTCGGCCTGGTTCAATTGTTGCAGCAGTTTGTGGTATATGATCCGTATATCATAAAAGAATGAGTCTTCAACCTTAGCAGTACACGGAAAGGGCATTATTATGGCTGTATCATGCAGGCGCGCTCGTGTGCCTGTGCGTGTGAGCGTGCACGTATGCGACTGCGTTTGCGTGCATGTGCGTGCATGTGCGTGTGCGTAAGCGTGTGCGTAAGCGTGTGGGTGTGGGTGTGGGAGTGGCTGGTTGTTGGCGTGCGCGTGCGCGTGCATGTGCGTGCATGCATGCGCGTGCGGCGTGCGTGTGTGAGCGTGTGAGTGTGTGTGTGTGTGTGCGCGTGTGTGGGATGTGGTCTGTTTAAGTTTGTTCGTTTGTCGGTCCGTCTGTCCGTGCTCATGAGTGTGTACATGCAATTTCTGGCTCTGGCCAGGCGAAGGCAGCTCAGCAGAAGCCGCGACCTTGACTTGGATGTTTGCACACCTTCAGAATTATGACCTGAAAGAAGCGCTACGCAAGGACTAGGGGCTGAAATTCTGCAGTCGTCGGAGCTGATGCTTCTTCTGTCAGGTGCTTGGTTGCCTGCCACGCTGGCAGCAGCCGCTCTGTGACCATGGCGACCCAGCCTGACTGGTTCAGGGGCTCTATAGCGGCTGTAGGGCTCTAAGGTTTCGCAGCTTGCAAGAACCCTAAGTCCTTCCTTTAACTCCCCGCAAGCCTTCGGGCCTTCGGGCCATGCTGCCTGACCCGGATGAGGCCTGAAACCCTCTTTTCCACCCAATATTACCAATTACCAATAGGGGGTCAGAGGAAGAGAGTATAGAGAGCTTTCTACAGCAGACTTTTCTATAGGAACAATGAGCTGCAAATCCTGATCTTTCTTGTTGAAAGGCCAGCAAGCCTAGGTGCTCGCCTATCTCATCATGGAGGAGGGCATGTCGCTGCACAATGCCTGGGCGCTGTCCTCAGCAGATCAGCTGCCAGCCAACAAGCACCTCCGCAATACCAAATCTGAAGCGACCTAAGTGTCCTATCAAGAGTATGAGCACATGTCTCTTTGTAAAAGCAGCATCAAGAAGTACTAAACTCATGTGCGGTCTTGGGGTGGGCAGGCCTTGCAGACTACTGCGAGCTCACAAAGCACGCTTCCTTCTGGCGCCCTAAACCCCAAACCCCAAACCCTAAACCCTGCTAAACCCTAAGCCCTAACCCCTTGTAAATTTGGGGGGTGGAAGGACCTGGTCCGAACGCAGCGCGGCAGCGCCCAGCCAAACCGGAGCTTCGCTCGCCAGCACCTGGCTCGGCATCGGTTTAGCGTGTGGGGTTTGGGTTTAGGGTTTAGTGTTTAGTGTTTAGAGTTTAGGCAAAAGGGTTTAGCAGGGTACTTATTGCTTCAGCCGTCCCGAAAACGGCCCATACTATCAGTCAGTCAGTCAGCCACATTGCGTTCTAGGGTTGAGGGGGCTCTCTCGGTATGAGCCCTTAATTGGGCACCCCCCTTTCAAGCCCAAGAGCCCATACTTCAGAACCCTTTAACGAAAGTAAGGAACCCCTAAAGCCACTGTTTGCTTAAGAAAACTAGCCCTGTCAAGGGCACCATAGGGATTACTAGCTTTCATCCTTTTGGGTCTTCCCCTAAGGCCCCGAAACCCTAAACCCTAAACCCCGATCAAGGGACCATGAACTACCCTTGAGAGTCGTAGCTGGGTCTGGAGCTTGGAAAGCTATAAGTATGCCGGGCACCGCGGGCTCGGGGCTTAGGGCACGAGATATGCATGGACGTCGGTTGGGAGGATTTAGGAGGTGAGTTCTCTGCTGTTGGCTTCTTGGGCACCATGACATACCATTACCGGGTTCTTCAGACCTTTGCCGCATCCCTGTGGAGCATCATCGGTTAGAGTTCAGGGTTCACCAAGCAGACTGGCCACAACGCAGGGGACGCCAGACGATTGAAGTCGGAACCTTCACATGTAGCTATCTTGGGCTTAACTCAGAGAGCAGGGGCAGTGTCAACCGGGAACGCACACAAAGATTCCAAAAGTCAGCAGCCAGCTGGAAGCACTCAGTAAGCGTAGATGCAGCTGCGATTCAGCAGTGGTGTGGCGCTGCCACTCAAAAACTGCTCTGAATAGTTGGTGAAGTTGTGCCAAATTTAGGTAATATAGGGGTCGGAAAAATTTCTAGTACTATTCCCTTATGGTCCCTCTATAATTATACTACAATACCCCCCCAAACCCTATTCTAACTATTCAGGCCCCCACACTAGTGACCCGAGGTTGATCGAGTTGGATCGAGCTGTTCACGGAGTGACGTGTGCTGCTTGGTTTGATGTTGGTGCGGCCCCTTAAATATCCGTAAGACGTCTGTGCTAACGTCATGTAACTCTCTCTCTATATCTATATATATATATATCTACATATATGTAGTATACATATATATAGAGAGACTTAAGACTTCGGACCTGTTGACTTAGTTCTTTCGTTTCCGTTGGCCTGTGCCTTATCGGCTACCTGCGTTTTCACCTGTTGTGGCTGCATTGGCCCCTTTGCCTGAGCGGTTGAGTTTTCCTGTTTTCTCCGGGCTATCTCTGTTTGTTTTCAGGGCTGTCGGCGTCTTTCTGTTTGATTCGTTTGATCTTGATCGCTGACTATACAGAATGCCTTTACATCGCGCGGCTTGATCTGTTTGGCAGCGCTTCGAATGCTACCGGTACGCCTGCTACTCCTGCTGCCACTCCTCAACCCCAAAACCTGTGGCCCCCAATCGCTGAACCCTAAACACCCTTAGCCCTTGAAGCCCTTGAAGCACTTGAAACCCTGAGCCCATAAGAAACAAGACGCTAAAACCTAAGGCCCTGAAAGTTTGAAGCCCCAAAGCCCCCTAGCCCTTAACCCTCAAACACCAACCAAAAAGACCCCAAACCAACATTGAGGTTTGGGATTTAGCGTTTAGGAAAAACTCAAAGTCTTAACAAAAGCCTAAGCAGGTGGCAAAAAAGAAGCAAACCAACTAGAACCAGGAAAGTGCCCCAAACCCCAAAAACCCCAAACCCCACAAGGCCAGGCTTTAAGGTTCAGGGTTCAGGAAGGGTTTTAAGGTATAATAGTGTTTAAGGCTAAGGGTTGAGAAAGGTATCGACTTTACACCGTAAACCCCTAAAGCCCCTGAACCCAAAACTCTAAGGCGCTGCCATGTGCAGGAGTTCTCAGGGTCTCGGGTCTAGGGTGTACAGTGTAAACCCGAAACCCTAAACCCTAAACCCTTTAAACCCTAAAACCCTAAACCCTAAAGAGCGAACCCGGACAGAACCCTTGCCTGCTTCAGCGAGCGAGTGCGAGAATCGAAAGCACTGCCGTGCGCCTTTCTTGTTAAACCCTATAAAGCCCGATACGCCCCAACCTCTACAAGCCAAGCTTTTCTCCTTTACACCAAGCCCTTGTCACAGTGGGGCAACATTTTACAATTTTAAGGATAAGGAATAGGGGCCCCCGGCCCCCCGGGCCCCCCGGCCGTGGGGGAATTTTTTTAATGACTATCCCAACCATGAGCTAGTTGAGAAATCTAAACCCTAAACCCTAAACCCTACACCCAAGCCCCCGCACCCCCAGGTAACTTTGGCCGACCTCGGATTTGACGACGAGCTGCTCCACTGAGGGCGAAAGAGGAAGACACGACCCTAAACCCCTAAACCTTGAGCCTCAAAAATGTGCCTTGTAGGGTTTGGGATATGAAGCAGCTTCCGGGTTCAAAAAAGGTTCAGGGTTTTGGGTTTTGGGTTTTGGGGCTGGAACCGTACTTCAAGGTCTGTTCCCTAACTGAGGGGGATAATGCTGGTCGAGACGGACGTTGGCAGACGAAGCTGCGCATGCTCTGCTTGCACAGGCTGCGCCTTCTGCGCGGAGGAACCTGGCCAATCGCCCAGCCTCCCTAAACCCTAAACCCTGAACCCTGAACCCTGAACCCTAAACCCTAAACCCTAAACCCTAAACCCAATCTGGGCGCGCCAAATCCATGTGGGCTCAGAAAGCCGCTGGATGCTGAGCTGCTGACCGCTTATGGCCGCTGACTGTTCGAACCACTGGCACGACAAAAGGGGTTTAGGGTTTAGGGTTTAGGGTTTAGGGTTTAGGGTTTAGGGTTTAGGAGTCTGGTCTTGAAAGCCAGGTTGAATTCTTGCTTGTTCTATGTAACAAAAATAAAGCGACCACAGAATATGAAGCCACGAAGGTTCGCCCAAGCATACCAACTTGCCAGGCCCGGCTCATTATGTCCGCCTCATTCTTGCGCAGATAAGCTCCGCAGACGCCCGCCTAAACGGCATCTCCGACACTCCCACGGGCAGGCATAGTTCATATCTAAACCCACAACCCTTAAACCCCCAAAAAGCCCTGGCCTCTAATCATACAAGCTCCCACCCAAAACCTCTGAACCCCTTAAAACCCCCGTAAACCCTAAACCCTAAACCTTAAACCCTAACCCTAAACCCTCCAGTCCTCCAACCCTCCAACCCACCCCTACTGCCAGCACCTTGGCTCAGGGGTGTTTCAGGGTGTTGCGAGAGCCCTCTCCTGAGACCAATGCCCAGGCCGGGCTTCAAAGCGGGCTGCTTAGGGTTTAGGGTTTAGGGTTTAGGGTTTAGGGTTTAGGGTTTAGGGTTTAGGGTTTAGGGTTTAGGGTTCAGGGTTCAGGGTTCAGGGTTCAGGGTTCAGGGTTCAGGGTTTAGGTGGTCTCTAGACAGCAACCTAGGGGCGCACAACTAGGATAGGGTTTTGGGGGGTTAATTTTAGTATCATTATGTAGGGGCCGCAAGGGAATACTATTAGTAATTGTTCGGACCCCAAAATTAGGTTAGGGTTGATAGGGTTAGGACTTGTAGGGTTTTGTGGGGCTAAGGGTTTGTAGGGTTTCTAGCGTTTAGGGGCTTGGGGGCTTCTGCTTCCTGGACATTCCCATGAAGGCAGTCAATTAGGGGTCATATCGGGAGCAGGCGGAACAATTCTTCTTAATTAAGCAAGTTCAATGTATCTTTAATGTTCACAAGGACTCTGAAGACTTCTATGCTTTGTTCAGGCTGTTCCGAGCGTGACCTTCAATCGATGGCCATGCCGTTTGAAACCGGCCCTCAACCCTGAACCCAAAACGGCCCTAAACTCTAAACCCTAAACCCTAAACCCTAAACCCTAAACTAGCTTGTGGACCCTTTGCTCACGGCCACGGGCGAGTGGGTGCGGCTGCGTCTTGGCAGGTCGCCGAGCCGATCGCGCAGCTGGCACCCCAGGGCTGGAGGATTTAGGGTTTAGGGGTTAGGGTTTAGGGTTTAGGGTTCATACAATAGAATATGCAATAGTATAGTAAGATAAAATTAAGATACGAATGATGCAACTTTCAACAGTTGTCACATTGTAGAACAAATGAATATCAGAAGGGTATGGGAAGGGAAGAATAGAAGAATGTAAAGTATGAATACAACAGTATGACATATCCATACTGTAAGAGTATATAACATAAGAAGGTAATGCAAACTCTCTATACAGTAGTAGGAAAACTGGATAAACACAGAATCGCAGAACGGAATGATAGAGCATATAGAATAGTCTGATAATCTATTGCCCAAAGAAGAAATCAGATGATAAATAACAATATATGCATATCATGATAGAAAGAAAGAATCATAGAATCTTTTTTTCTGTTCCGGAGGCACCAGCCCAGGGGCATGTATGACGGCACTCTGGGTTTTTGGACTCGGAAACTGTTCGCATGAACGCGCCGCGGCTTCTCAAACCGAAAGCCCTGACGCCCTAACACAGCCGGTTTGTGGGTTTAGGGTTTCGGGTGGGTCTAGTCGAGACGAACCCTGTAAAACTCGGACCATCTACCCTTTTTGACTTATATTCCCTTGCAGACCATAAACCCGTTTCAGGGTTCACCCAGAGACTCCAAAACCCCTTAATTGAGGAATATACCTTAAATGAGAATAGGGACCCTAATATGATTTAACATATGTCCCTTAATGAAAAGATTTTGGAGTCTCTGGGCATGTAGCAGCCAAGGGTGGCAGGCATCCGGACATCGCCAAAAGCACCAAGGTCCCAAGCGCAGGGAAGAGCGCAAAGACTCTCCGAGACGCGACGAAGGTCCCCCTGTGGGTCTCTGGAAGTTATGACAAGGGGAGGGTTTCCGAAAATTAGGGGTTCCCTTTTTTTTTTTTTTTTTTGGGGGGGGGGGGGGGGGGGGGGGGGGGGGTGTTCCGACAATAAGGATTCTACTATCTTGGGGATATGAAGTCCCCCGCTATTCGGGGAAATGACAACATGACATATAACTACGAGGTTGGTATGGTGTCATAGTGCACGATGTTGTATCATATGGGCTTTCCCGGCCGAAGCTGCCCAAGCCTAAGGACAGTTCCATGGGACCTTAATATCTTGGTAGCCCAGTGGTACCCTTTACCCTTTTTTGGTTCAAGGTTCCTTTTAAAGTGACCAACACAAAAAAGGGTGCCCTTATTATGATATGGTTACTGGGCTACCAGGATATGGACCCTTGCCTCCCTCAAGGGGCTCTGATCTTTGTGGTGCTTTACTGTAACTTTAGATCTTTAGCTTTTTTGGGTTTATTGGGTTTCTTAATAAGGCAGCTAAAAGTTTAAAGTTTAATATTTTACTACCCTCCTAAGTGCAGCCAAGTGATGTTTGGGCTTTTGGGCTGGATAGGGTACATAAGGGGTATTCTGGGCATTGCCAAGAATGCTCTGAGCTGGGTGCCCAAGAAACATGAGAGTCCCAATATTATTCCCTCCAACGCACAAGGCACCCCCGGCTTCCAGTATCTTGTGGGAAGGTATTTGGGATTTTCATCCTGGGGGCAGGGGGGCAAAGAAAGCCCAGCTGAGCCCTTAAAACCCTAAACCCTAAGCCCTCACTAAGCCTTAAACTGACTGTCTCACCTGGTTCGTCCGAGTGTGCGGCGATGAAACCCTAGTCCCCTAATCCCCTAAACCCTAAACCCTAAACCACTAATGCCCTGGAGGCGACGCCGGCGATGCAGTGGCCTGGATTGAGATCGGGGACCTGCCTCCAAAGTCCAACTGGAGCTTCCTGGCTCAGCCTTGAGAGGTTTTAGGGTTTAGGGTTTGGGGTTTGGGGTTTAGGGTTTTAGCTTCCCGGCTCAGCCTTGAGAGGTTCTTAGCAGTAGAGCAGGTAACCTTTAACCTTTTTAGGGTAATGTACTCCCCTTAGAGTACAGAAGAGTAGGTAGACCAAGAGCTGACTGGCTTCAAGAAACAACGAAAGATTCCCTGAGAGCATGTGGAAAGCCACCAGCAAACATACTGTCAGGTCTCGATCTAACCCTCCTACAAAACACTGCATAGAACCGTCAAGCCCCATTCTAAACAGACATGATTAACAAAACAGCCAAACAATCGCCAAAAACACATGCTATGTTGAACATCGCCGCACAGAAGATTGGACAATTGCGTCCAAATCAGCCTACGGGCTTACAAAGTAATTACAAAGTAGTTCACTGGTTTGCCACGAGTCTCTGATTACATGCCTTTTGTACAGTTACAACCCCCCCTGTAGTTTCTATGTTCGAGTTAGTTTCACCCGGTGCCGCGCACCTTTTCTTCGGATTTGGCGCTAAGTGAGTGAGTAAGTGAGGGTAATGTACTCCCCTTAGAATCCCAAAGGTTTCGGGTTTTGGGTTTATAGGGTTCAGGGTTTAGGGTTTAGGGTTTAGGGGACGGAGTCTTTTGAAGCCTCGTCTGTGGTGTAGGAGTGTAAGCACCGGCTGAGGCTGTATGAGACGGCTGGTGACGCAAGCCGGGGGACCGCTAACCCTAAACCCTAAACCCTAAACCCTAAAACCTAAACCCTAAACCCTAAACCCTAAACCCTAAACCCTAAACCCTAAACCCTAAACCCTAAACCCTAAACCCTAAACCCTAAACCCTAAACCCTAGCCCTACGCCCCTACCATTCACTGATTCCATGGTTGCGATCGACGGGATGGGAAAGAAAGTCTTTTCGTGGCTAGGTTGACTTTTCCTTTTATCAATCATCGTATAGCATAATATATAGTATATTATATATATAGCACATAGTATATGGTATAATAGTAAAATAGTATAATCGTATAATAGTAGAATAGTATAATAGTATAGTAGCCTAATAGTGTAATAGTATAATAGTAGAATAGTATACTAGTCCAGTAGTAGAATAGTATATAGCGTATAGCATATAGTATATAGTATATAGTCTAGCCAATGTTCGGCTAAACCTAAACCCTTAAACCTTACACCCGAATTAATCATCCATCCGCGATGACATCCTGCGGGTTCCAATGCCTTTTCTTGGGGGAATTTCGGAACATTCAAGCTGCTCTATATGTGTCCCTTCGATAGACGCATAAGCTCCCAAAACAGCTCCTAAGTAAGGCCTAGACTCCTTCTACCCACCAAACCCCAAAACGCCAATGCTAAATCGCATGCCCGAATCAAGGGTTCGCCCAGCCCAGCGGAACTCGAGTAGGTCCTCAACCCTCCCCCCCCCCCCCCCCCCCCTACAGTAGGGATGCCCCTGCACCAAAACTGGCGAATCGACACTCTTCCC